GGCGGCAGATCATTCTGAATCTGACCCTTCTTTCAACCTTTGTTTCTCCAGTTCTTCTCCTCTCTTTTCTTCCTTTCTCTTTCTTTTCTTCTACTTTTCCTAATCTGAAATCTATTAGGGTTCAAGGCTGATTGTAGTCTTGATTGTCTACTCAGAATTGTTTAATCCATGAGTTATGTCTTTATTTATTGTTAAATTTATTAAATCAACATAAGAGTTTTTCTGAATATGGGTTACTCCCTTGTGCTAATCAACATTTAGATCCCACAATTTTGATAGAATTACTGTGAATGATGAATCCAATGAAATTTATTTAATTTTGTTAACTAGGCTATCTTTGTGAATACATGTTTCTGTTATTCTATTATTCTATTAACATAGAATTTTATCTATCAGAATCCCTCATACTATCTTATTTATAGTGTTGTATCATCACCAGCAGCACTCTGTGCTTCTTCATTACAATCCCACTATTCTCTTCTTAGTCCTTATTGGAGCCATCTTAATTCATTAATAAGTAGTGCTAGTGATTTATCCTCCAAAATCTATTGCACTCTGCTTCACGTGAATTTTTCCACCATCAAAACCAATAAAACAACACCGGGAAAGAAGAAAAACAATGAAACCATAAAAGAAAGCACACAAAAGCCCAGTACACAAGTCTCCTGCCAAGGTGGGGTCTAGGGAGGGACAATGTTGAAAGGGTTTAAAATCCATCATATGGAAGTGTGTGAAAGCCCAGTACACAGTTGTACGAAGGAGAAGAAGCAGATATTTGAACTCTGCTGGGGAGGAGAACCCCTTAAATACACTGTTGGGATTTGCTTCTGGGGAATCCATCTCATCACTTGCTGGGAAATTTGGATTTTTCCCCGAGGAAAAACTCAAGTTTCTCTCCCTGTTCGAGCGGAACCAGCGGCGGCGAAGACTTCCTCTTCTCTCCCTGTTCGAACGGAACCAGCAGCGGCGAACCAGAGCTGTTCGGTTCTATTCTCTCCCTGTTCGAGCGGAACCAGCTTCAGCATCAAGATATCCCTCCCCATTCTGATTCAGCTCCTCTAGCTCACCTCCTTAATCTTTTATTCCGTTTCATTCCCAGGCTAGAGGAAACACAGTAGCAGATGAGAATCAGACTAAGATATGGAAGCAAGAATAGAAACTAGGATTGGGAGTCGTGGCTGAAAGTTGCAGAAGGTGGTCAATGAAAATGTTCCAAAAAAGTTTTCCTAGGAGTGTCCAAAGGGGAGGAAAGAGATGGGAAGCTCAGAACTGGTACAAGAGAGAAGGCATGGGGGCATGGTCAAGACCAAATTTCTCCTACAGAAAAGCGGTGAAAGCAGGAGTCTGGTCGGATTTGGGACGTTCTGATCTGAAAGCTATTGAAGGTAAGCTTACGATATTTATGGAGATGAACGAGGTGGAAGCAAGAAGGAAGTTTTTAAGGGATTGTTTAGTTGGTAGATTTGGGTGGAAGGTGGGGTTAAAGGAGGTGGAGATCTGGGCTAATCAAATCTAGAAGGAGGTGGGGGGAGTGAAGGTGAAGAAGTTGGCGGGTGGAAGGTGGGGTTAAAGGAGGTGGAGATCTGGGCTAATCAAATCTGGAAGGAGGTGGGGGGAGTGAAGGTGAAGAAGTTGGCGGATGAGTTATTCTTGTTCATCCTGCCTTCCAGAGCAGAGGCGCGATGGATCCTTGAAAAAGGTCCATGTTCAATGGGGAGGAACCCTCTTCTTCTCAATTGGTGGGGAGCTAGCGCGGGCTGTTTTTATCCGGAGTCGGAAAAGGACTTTGACCGATCGGAGGATATCTGGATTAGGGTGTTCGGCCTGCCTCTTCTTCTATGGTGTTCGAGTGTCATCAGAGCAATTGGGGATGCATGCGGTGGTTTTCTTGAAACAGATGATTCTCCTTCTGAGCTGGCCACTTGCAAATGGATTCGAATGAAGGTGAAGAAGGGTGGCTTGATTCTGGAGAAGGTGGAGATTGTTGCTGGGGAAGTTCTCTTCTCAATTTCCATCTAGCCAGAAGTCCTTCCGTCAGTTCGGAGGTGGAAGACGGAGAGGCTCACAGAAGAGGGAACTCAAAAGGTCAGGGAGGACTCGATGGGCTCGAAGACAATAGTCTTAGAGGACGTCAGTGAATGCTCCCCACTGCATGCTCATCCAATTAATCTAGGGGGAGGAGGACTGGAACGGGTGAGATCGCCGGAGAAGGAAGAAGAAGAAGATCGATCCTGCGATTCTGATAGGAACCGTTCGATCCCAATACTAATGGAGGGCCAAAATTCAAAAGTCAGGGTGGGCCTTGAGGGAAGTGCCTCTGTTTTGAAAATGGGTCTTCTTGGAGATGGTGAGTTGGTCGATAATATTAAAAATTTAATAAGAGTGCCTAAGAGACCTAAAAGTGGTGCCTAAGGAAGAGTACTCGTTGACGACAATTAATGAGGCAAGACTTCTCTTTGAAGTAGGGGATGGTGCAAATGTGGGAATTTCAAAGAGGGTCCAGGATTCAGATTCAGGTCAGCTAAATCCATTTACTCAGCCTAATCAGAAGCCTAGTAGAAAAAATAACCTTAAAGCTGCAAGTGAACCAAGATGGGCCGGTAGTAGACCAAGACAGTTCAGCCCGACTAGCTTGGATCCAGCCTTTTCTCCGGACCGGTTTGAACCGACATGGATCACTCGACCTTGTGTACAGGAGGGGAGGACTGGGCTTGCCATTTCAAAGATTCAGACCTCTCCTTCCCCTGAAGTAGAGCCTGGTGATGATAGCCTAGAGCACTCTCGGCCCCCCCAATCTTGTCCTTCTGAAATGGTGAAGAAGGCGAAAGCTGATTGCAGAAGACTGAACCAACCTCCCCTTTCCGTGGTTCCTTTGAACGAGCAGTTGATAGAGGTGACGCCGCTGGCAGTAGTGGAAGTTGAAGATCAGTCTGCAATTAGGAGCGATACTCAGAATCAACATAAAGTGGCAGAGGAAAATGAGCTAAGGCATGCTGCGGCCGAGAGGAGAAAAGAAAGTGGCTAGATAGCGAGTGTGGGAAATTCAAATCTTGGGACTGTTGAAGCAGGTAAGTCTAGTAGCAGCACTTCTAAGTCCTCTTCCTGGGTCACTTCT